CACTTGCCTAGCATGTGGGGGATGCTGGATTCAACCCCTGATGGCCAGGGGATGAATATTTTGGAAATCATCAGGAAATTGTTAATATGGTCTGGCTACTAGATGATACCAAAGAGATAGCTGGTCAGGGTGGTGCATGACTGTAATCCCAGCAACTGGGAAGGCTGAGGCAGGAGGATCACAGGTTCAAGGCAAGTCTTAGCAACTTAGTGAGACCTCGTCTCCAAATTAAAAAAGAAAGGGGGGGGGGTGCTGGGGATGTGGTTCAGTGGTTAAAAAAGAAAAAGAAAAAAAGAAAAACACCCTAGATTCAATCCCCAGTACCAAATAATAATAACAATTTAAATTAATTCATTAAAAAAAAAAAGTTTAACCAATGCCATCCCCCATCAATGGGCAGGCTCAAAGGATAACCCCAAAATCTGGACCTAAGGACATTGAGGTGAGAAGTCAAAGAACAAATGCTCTGCTTCTCAGGGAAGCCTCCTGTAGGTGGTGATATGCAGTCCTGAAAGCACAACGGTCCAAGTCACCCTGGGAACMACTAAAACAGATTCCCCGCCCAGCCCTGCAGGGAAAATGAGTGAGACCCAGGACACTGCGTTGAGTTACTCCGGGGAAAGAGGTCGCGTGTGGCCGGACGCCTGAAGGCCCTTCTTCTGTCCTTCTGCAGATGCAGGTGTGGGACACCGCGGGCCAGGAGCGCTTCCGCACCATCACCCAGAGCTACTACCGCAGCGCCCACGCAGCCATCATCGCCTACGACCTCACGCGGCCGTCCACGTTCGAGTCGGTCCCCCACTGGATTCACGAGATAGAGAAGTACGGGGCGGCTAACTTGGTCATCATGCTGATCGGTAGGCGTTCCCCGGAGGCTCACTGTTTTCTTGACCAGCCCCCTCTGCGGGCGCCCAGCGGGTCGCGAGTTTTCCGGGGCAGGCGATGGGTCGTGACAGCGATGGACGGGACCGAAAAACTACCTTGCCCAGAACTTCCCAGTAGATTCATTTGAGCATGAGAGTAGGGTGGTGCGAACTAGTTAGAGGTACAGATTTCTAGGCTGGGGACGCGGCTCAGCGCCAGAGCGCGCGCCTGCGGTGCGCACGGTCTCGGGCTCCGGCTCCGGCTCCAGCAGGGGCGGGCGCGGGACAGATTTCGCCACCCCTCCCCCGAGCTCTCATTGGGTGGATCTGGGGTGGGCGGAGAGGCCCCTGCACACCGCGTGCACAGGTGCTGTGTGGACTGCACAGGTAGTACGACTGGAGTTAACAGACAGGTGGTTCCAAATCGCCAGGACGTCACTCAGATGAATGTGCCTCGCTATTGAATGACTTCATTGAGTGATTATCTATATTCTTTAAGACCCTGAAACAGCCGGGCGCGGTGGTGCAAGCCCGTAATTCCAGCGGCTCCGGAGGCTGAGACTGGAAGATTGGGATTTCAAAGCCAGCCTCAGCAACAGCGAGGCACTAAGCAACTGAGTGAGACTCTCT